TTCGGAACGTTGAGAGAAACGCGCGAGCTTCGCGAAAATTGCAGCTAACGCGAATTTCATTCGTACAATGTTACATACATGTATATGGTTAATTGTACACCGTTATCGGATCGAGCGTAATTTAAAAAGATTTAGTTTCGCCTAAGGAAAAAGATAAGATAAGATGAGAAAAGAATGCATCGTTCGTTCCTGCATAAATGTTTCCTTTTACGAGGACGATAAATTCGAAGAATAAAATGGCAAGGTATTCAAATATTGCATGAAATATTCCGAGCGAACCGAGTTGATCACCGGCATAAGAAACCTTGAAATTTTGCCCGTTCGAGAGCTGACCTTCCCGAAACTCCATCGACGATTTCTCGTTCGACTCGTGAATAATTCATTCGAACGGAGTTTCGAGGATGGTCCAACGGGAAAAGGAATCGTGGTCGAAGTCCTCCGCTAGCAGAATTATCTCGCTGCTCTTCTCTTTGTTTCTTCCAAACAAATTCTTCTCTCGTCGCGCGAAACGAGCAACAAACGAAACGAATTCAAAACGGTTTCTCGCTAATTATCCTTAGCGCGAAATTCGTATCGATTCATCGAAATTACTGAAAAAGAAATTGCTCCGTTGAATTTCTTGGAAACGTACCGAATAGAAAGAAAAATAGATCTTCCGCTAATTCGAAGATCGTGCAAGGACGGTCTTCCTTTAAAAGCGTCACGGTGATTAAACTTTCGGTTCGCCGATTAGAGAAAAGTAGCGAGTTTCGATCGATAAATCGATCCACGTCTCGAGGGATGGCCGAGTAACGCGCTTCCACTAAATTTCATTTCTTCTTCCTCCAACAATTCATTCGGACGACAAGCTTTTTAACCGTCTCGCGAGCTTCGAAATGTCAAATGGAAGGTGGGAGGGAAAAAAAACGGGACATAGATCGATCGGCTCGTTGAAAATTTATGAATTGTGTCTTCTCGAGAGCCCTTTAAACCTCGAAACGAACGATCGCGATACTCGTCGAGTGCACGAGTACCAACAGATTCTTGATAAAAAATCCTCGACATCGGCCGCAGTTTGCTTTCCATTCGTTTCGCTGAACCCTTTACCTCCGTAAAACGTTGTCGGCGCTGTTACGAGAATCCGGAACGAACAACGCGATGCTGCATTTTAGACACGAGTACCAGGAACCTTGGCATAAAGCGACGCTACCGCCTAGCGAGATCGGAAGATCGGGCGGGAGACCTCTGCGACACGGTTAGAAGATTCATGGAAATCCGTGTAACACGGTACTTTAACAACGCGCTTGGAAAATTCAGGAAAATCCGTACGACACGGTAGGGAGATTCGTAGAAATCTTTCTAGTACTTTCATAACGTTGTAAATCTGTACGATACCGTTCAAAGATCCGAAGAGATTCCTATGATACTCGGGCAACGCGAATTCCGGAAAATTCCGGAAATTCCGATATCGCGTAATCGAGGGAAATCTGTGCAACACGGTGTTTGTAGGATGCGCCTGATAAGTCGAAGGGTTAAAAACTCCAAACCATACGTAATAAGACTCTCTTCCTCGCTAAACCACCGTATCCCCTGTAAGTACTTGGTGTATGGAAAAAAAAGAAGTACCGATGGATTCGACGAGGGTAAGAAAGAAGAGAACGAACATTTTGCTGAACCTATAAAAGAAGCTTAGCTCTCGACACGGTTAGACTTTGAAGCGTCGAAAACTCTTCCCACTCGCTAAGATATCGCGCTTTTAAATCTAAATCGTGGCGTCGAAATCTCAACTTTTCGTTCTCGACAAGTTTTTAGCCGCTCTCTCCGGTTTCTCTGCTTTTATTTTACTCGAAAGTTTGCATTAACGAAACTTTATCGATATCTTCTCGCCGGTAGCCGTCGATCGTTCGTTTTTTGCCCTTAACGAAATTCTTCGTCGAAACGAGTTTTTCGAGTTTTCCGAATTGTTGGTCGGCGACGCGAAATTGAAAAGAAAACGCGCATTGAAATAGACGGTAGTTTTTACTCGGGGATTCGGAAGGAAAAACGAGCTGCAATTACGATTTCTTCGCAATCTGGGCCATCCTGGTCCTTTATCAGGATACCAGTCGCTCGGACAATAGCGTCACGTTCAATTCTCTTCCACCTTCCATTCTGCATTCGCGACCATTCATCGAGGATACCGTTCGCTGTGATTAACACTCGGCAAAAAGACCTGCCTCATCAAGAACTAATTAATTTTTTTCAAATGCAACGCAAATTCTCCCGGCCGCTACGTTCTCTCGCGATCGGTTCAGCTTTTTGTTACGAATGTCGCACGAGATTCCACGCTTTTCACCGTACAATTAGAACGAACGAATTTCCGCTAGCGACGATCGTTTCGCGATTACGTTAAAACGAACTAACAAAACACCCGTCATCCGTCGACGAACGACACACGAGATTTCTATAAACTGTCGTTTCTTTACAGTTTGCTCTACCGCCTTCGTTAAAGACCAACACTTAGATCGAATTATTGTTCTTCTACTTGTCGGATATCGAGAAACCTCTCGTCCTTCATGAATATTCCTATCAATTCGAGCCACTTTAAATTTCAAATATTCGCGTATCTCGCTTTTGCCAACTGGCAAACTGTTTGTTCCTTCGAATATCCCTGAAGCAGCTTCGAAATTGCATGATATCCTTCGGAATCGCGGAAAAGCACGTTACGTGCACGTTCAACGTCTCCCGGAAAGTCTATATTTTCGTTTGACGGATCTTTTCTTTCGGAACCGTGATTGGATATAAAAGAAAGAGGAAACTTGCGAATTCGCGAAACTACCGAACGTTCTACCTTCTGTAAAACCCGAGTGATTCAGCGGCAAGGAAAAGGTCGCAAGGAATTCTCGAGAGAAGGTTGATTCAAGGTGAAAACGGTCGAGGGAAAGACGGGAAGTAAGCGAGGGAGGAAATAAATAAGGAAGGAAGGAAAGGGAAGAAAGAAAGAAGCGGTCACGAAGTCCTGTATATCGGGCATGACGGTGAAAAGGTCGAGTTTCCTCGTTAGTTGTACGTGTACGCGTCGATAAGAAGACAAAGTGTGCAATTAACGAAACACCGCTGGAATAACGATAAATAGACCGAAGAAGGCGTAAACGAGGCTGAATAAAAGGTAGGAGGAAAAAAGAGGATTATAAAGGCAACAACGCGATACAGGAACGTAACGTATAAAAAGGGAAACAAAGTGGTCGTGCTCCCTTGAATTCGAAAAATCCTCTGGACCGTACTTCATGGCCTGGAACCGAAGTTCGACTGGTTTATATCTCTTCGCACATTCCGATAAAACTGGACAACTCTCCTTAAACCATTTCTTACATGCCAAATATTCATTTACGTACAATCAATATTTATCCTACAAATTATTAACTAAAATTCACATTTTCTTTGAAATTATGCCTAGTCGAATAATTTTTACCTTTCTCCGCAACTTCGCAACAGATATCGTAAAAATCATAATAAAGGTTTTTTATTTTCATTTATAATTGAACTAGGTTCGCGTTACATTTCAATTGGCTGTTAAACGAAAAAGTAATTTGAAACGCTTCGGACCTTATACGTATAGGGCAAGGAATCGATTGATAATTAAACGCGTTTGGATTTCATTTCATTGGATCGTGTTCGATTTAAACTGTTATTATTAATCGTGCAGCTGCGAACCGACCGACCAATAATTATAATAATAGACCTAACTCGAATCAAACTCGATCCGTTTAATCGACCGAAAACCAAATATATCTCGAACGTTATGTATACGCATTATTTTTAAATAGCCACGTTTTCTATTCCGATCCGCGTTTATTATTAACGATTAACGAGACGATTAACTGTAATTCTCGTTATCGAAATATTGTAGAAATTATTCGGAACGTCGTACGAGTCAAAGGTAATAGAATTTAACCGTTCGAGTAAACATCGAAGTTTCTTCGTGACGCGTCGGAAATTTTTTCCGGAAATTTGTTCTTCCGGTTGCTTCGAACGTTGTTCGCGAAATCTGACTGCGTACGCGAATATCGACAAGGCCGATGTCAATTCGGATTCCACGCGGATATAACTCTCGTATCGAAGGAATTTTAATAAAGAGTATACGGATCGCCGCTTATTGATCCACGCGAATGGTAAACTATGGATCCGAACTTTATCTCCCTTTTTCGCGATTTCTCCTTCCTCTCCCCTATAGCCGTACAGTTCATTTTTTGCTCGTCGAAATAGCAAATAAAACAGATTTTTATCTTACCACCGAGCTAAATTTTCCGCAGTCGCGAAAGAAAATACCATCGCTAACTCGATTCGCTGTTTTTTTTGCGCGAGTAACGAGAACAATTGCAGTTTTTAAAGCGAGTATAGAAGAAAGGATCCTCCATCGGTGGATGATCCGGCTACTCTTTCTTATCCGAGAGAACACATCCTTCCATGTGACTGTACGACCGAAACGGTACCGACTCTCTATGCAAATACAAGTCGAGAAGGCGGAATCAAATTTATTCATATCGTGACATCGATTTCCAGACAAATCATGCAGGATGTCTTACGTATAGAAAACAGATCGGGAATATGGAATACAGGATAACTATATCGCTCCGTTTCGCTCGTCGTAATTGTTTACGTAATATGTTTGTCTACATATATTTCCTCTAATTATATAATCCACGCGACCGAATTCTACGCATTTTCGATCTAGCATTTTATCGCGTTCTTTAAGCTTTTCGTATAAGTTTGCTCGCGTGTATTCAATATTTTTTCTTACCTACTAATTCTCGGTTTAATAATACCGATTCGAGATTCGTTGCCTTGCACGCTACGTTATTATTGTATCGACATCGACAAGTTGGACGAAATATTTGTTTTATTTGGCAAACAGTTCAGTTTCCAGTTGAGAAGTTAGGGAAAATTGTTAGAATCGACGGGGGAGATAACGCGCGAACGAGCATGTAGTTATCCTATTCTCGGAGTAGACGAAAGTCAGAGAGTCGTCCTTATGTTTCCAGCTTGTTCTCGGACTTGAGAAGCCTGGCAGGTACGACCCTTATGAATCTCTTGGCAGCCCTCTTCATGGTTCAACTGCTCTTCATCGTTGGAGTGGGTGGTGTTCAGGTAAGTTTCGATAGCTTCTTCTAAAAGAAGAATCCCCTTTTTTTCTTTGTCTCTCCTTCTCTGTATCTTATCGAATCGAGTATACTCGCGCGTTGTACAAGTTACGTATAGCTTCGACTTTTAATTGCCTAATACCCATTATTACTTATCTATGCAAATCGAGGCTTAAATAATTTTTTTTTTTTTTTCAATTTTTAAATTTCATATTACGAACTTAAGGATAAAGAAAAAAAAGTCTCGTAAACGAAGATTCTGATAGCGTAGGAAAAATATGTCGATACAATGTACCTGTAGGTAGTGTAACGTAAATGTCTTCCGGTCGAGAGTACGTTTATCGTGCACGCGGAGGCGTAGGTTAAACGGTAACTGAAATTTGACAGGAAAGTTCTGTTTCGAACAGGCGGAAAAGCGAACAATTTCCTTCGCGTATAAATTCATAGCGGTGACCAGGTGAAAATACGTATCAAGGCGATGTTGGAAAGAGAATTATGGGAAAATTTGAAACGATTTAGAGGTTCGGCGAGTACGCGCGCGTAGGTGGGATCGTTGCAACGATACGCCAGAGTCGAACAAAAGCCAGAGAATTCTGTCGGAGGTGGTGGCTCTCGGGGTTGGTCTGGTGAAAACACCGGCGCAAAGGACAAGCGATTTCTGCCAGAAACAACTGCTACTCTCCACTCCTCTTTCCCACCCACCGCCACTTCCTCTTGGCTGAAAAAACATCCCTGCGTCATTAGGGGAGAATCGTGGGTGTGTGTATGGCGTATACGATATAAAGGGGTTGAGGAGCGCGTATCTCCTCGACGTTCACCGTTTTTACCGCTCCGTAACTGCTCCATCAGGCAAGATACCTTACTATTTCCGCTTTCAACGTCTCCATCTTTCATCGTAATTACCCGACTGCGGATGTTTATGCGTTTACGGCGTACCAAGATGCACAAAACGTAGTCGGAAAATGTCGCGAGCCGTCAGGAAAGTATGAAAAATGCGAAAAATCTCTATAATTGCACGATCGCGAGTACTGCGATAACGGTAGTTTTTAATTTTTCGAAATTTATTTCTCCCGAAGGTGCGGAGAAAAGTCTTATCCACGGTGAATTCTCGTTGGTCGCGACACTTTATTTGGACGAGTCTGTGCTCCGATGAAATTGTGCTTCGGCAAACAAACGTGGCACGAATAGCAGAGACAAAAGATGGTCACGATTTTTAATGCCGTCTAAATGTTTGTTCAGCACTTTCGTCCGATCGTCGATATAAAAAATGGTACACATTTCCCCGATGACCTAATATTTACGAATTTACTTGCTCTTGCTTTCAAATAAAAATGCTAAACTTTGCTCCAATTTTCGTTCTTTTTACCGCCAACTTGTCGTGTAACGCGTTTCATATTTAGTTTATACGAAAAAAAAGAAAAAGTTGAAAAGTTAAGTAACGCGTAGGTGTAAGAGAAGCTTTAGCGAAAGTACGCGTAGATCGTGTCGGGAGGTCGAAGAGCACTTAGCACATTTCTAAAGAATTTAATGATCTCGTCTCGTAAACGTGACTCCAGTTTTAAAAGATCGCATCTCGACACCTGCAGGGATCTTTTTGCCGCTCTTTCGTTCGTTTCTCGTTACGAAATTACTCCACCATCGACGATGTTCTTTCGCTCGTTTTCTCGAATTTTTACTCGAAAATACCGCCTTTCGAGCGCGTACACGGCAAACGAACCTCTATCCGACCGAGATATTTCACCCGACAAAAAAAAAAGGTTCCTTTCGATTCTATCTCGCCGGGCTATCGCGAACGAAATTTCTCGAATTCGATGCGAAGCGAACAACCAGAATTACAGAGGCCTTCGTCGGTTCACGTTTCCCAGAAGAAATTTTTAAAGAGATTCGCGAATAATCTTTGTCCCGAAGGGGCACCTGTATTCTAATCTTCTTCCATGGAAAGTTATTTTCCCAAACTCTGGCCAGTATTGTCCGAATATCCAATGACTTTTCGTAACGTTCCCTAAGAATTTTTCCTTTTCCTTCCGCTGTTGCCGCTTATCAATCGAATAGTTTACTCGCAAGCCAACGTCTCGGTTTAATAATCTCGGAAGATCGAATAAGCGGTTTGCACCGAGAAACAGGAAATTCGGAATCCGTCGTTTAGTCGAGTTTCGCTATATGTAGTTGCTCGAAAAAATCGAACTTTATCGTTACGTATCGCGAAAGGACAACTATCTTAAAAGTTTTTCTCTCCAGACTCCGGTAAAAGTACTGGCACGAACCTTAAGCAAACATCGTTGATAAAACAAGGAAAATTCAGGGCCGAGCTATTCGTAAATAATGCATGCTTTCCGAACAAACTTTTCACCTCTGTTCAGACACAGCTTCATGGATTTATATCCCCGTTACGGTAATCGTGGTTTCCACAACTTTTTTCATCCATAAGCTTTTATAGGGCGATGGTATTTTACAAGAATCTTTTTTTTCTTTTTTTATTCGTTTCACGCGATCGAAAACAATTTCTGTCGAACTTTCGAAACGAATCGCGAGCTCCTTCGACGCGTTCGAAATTTAAACCGGAACGTTCAAATCTTTCGAGATCCTCCCCAAAAGTTGGCGAACTTACACACATAAAAGGTAGAAAGTTGACCGTCTTCGGGACTAGGAAAAATTCCTGATCCAACATCCATCGAACGCTCGGTTCTCGGTATTTTCTCGGAAAGCGTTAAAAGAGCTAGCCAACCAACGCGTTTGATCTCGACTGTTCTTTAAACGGCTACTTTAAATACCGGCTTTCGTCGACTTCGAGAAAACGTTCTGCACTGCAGGTGTTTAACTTTATCCCGACTGCTTTCTCACGAAACAAACGCGGATACGAACAATGTTTATTTATTGCGCTCCTCGTTAAAATTCGTTTGTTTTTGCAAATTCAGACGTCAGGGAAATCCTAACGCGATTCAACGCCGAAACATATAACCCTGAACAAACTAAGGAAAGGTTTCTCCGCGGGAACGTTATTCCTTGGCAGCAAAATCTTGCTACATTGATACGCGACGCTTTAACGCGTATCACGCAACGATATAACCGAGTACATAAACGCGTGTCGATATAAAGCTTAGCTATATCAGCGCCATTAACGTGCACGGAAGTTAACGCGAAGATGAATCCTCTCGGTCATCGATGCAAAGTGTGCCGATATAACGAGAGCCTACTGTACTATAAAAAGCGAAAAACTCCATTAAGGGAATACGTTGAACGTTTCAAATTAGTCATGGTATTATATCGCATCGTTGTAGCGCGATGAAAAAGAAAATTACCGGTGTTAAAAAAAAAAAAAAATGGGCTACTAATACTAAATTATCGAGCGCAAAAATGATGCAGTCTCGTTACGTGGGAGGTACAGACCTTCCGTGCTTAAATCGTGCAACTAAATACAGCTAATTTACCGTCGAAATTTACGAGTTTCTAGAGTTACACGGAATTAACAAGAGGCAGAAAATTAGTTTCCATCCGACTGCATTCGATGCAAACTGATAAATAATTTTATCGATTATTTATTTCGTGCAGCGCGTGGTTAATTCCCTGCAATAACAGTTTTACACGAAGCAAGTTCGTAATTCGTGTTGCGAGGCATGATTAACGCTTTTTTTCTTCTTTTTTCAACTTGGTCCCTTTTCAATTTAGCGTTCGAACTCTGACGCGGATTACATTCTTCGCAACATCCACGAGAAAAAAAGTCTCCCATGAAATTCGCGAGTAATTACATTTTAATCACCGATATTCGTCGTCGCGTCGCTCCCGATCAAATTAAAAATATTTCTGTTACATCCCGGCTAGTCTTCCCTCGAACATCTATTCGAACGATTACTGATTTTCCTTTAAAAAGATTTCGATCCGAATAGGAGCAATCGGTGACGAGAGAGGAGGAGCGCGTAATTTAAAAAGAATCATCGTTTCTTTCTTTTCTATTAATTTATTCTTTCGCAAAGTTTATTACGCGACAAAACGTGCAGCCAGTCGAAGTCTTTCGAATGAGAAAACTTTTCCACCTAACCAATTATAACTTTTTTATGCCGTCAACCCGGCCGTGTCTCGTTCTGTCTTTTTAACCCACACGAGACTTGTCCGACAAAGTTTCTCGATTTTCGACTCGAAACCGTGCAATCTAATTGAGCCGCGAAACAACCTACCGGATACTTTTTGCTTCGACAAATAAATTTATCGCGTTGCACAACTTTTTTAAGAACGTTGAGGGGGGAAAAAAAGCAACTTTGTTCACGTTTTCGACGTCGCTGAATTTTAAACTACTTTCTCGTTCGAGAGTACTCGATTCGTTCATCCCTGGCAAAAAAATTGAATCGACTATAATTCCATTTTTGTAGGTCGCGCGAAAAATCTTTCTGTTCGGCGAAAAATCGTTTACCGTGACTCCGTGTAAGAGGGAGGAAGAAGAGTAGCATAATCAGCTACTGTAAATACGAGGACTGTCGTGTTGTTTGATAGCGCGTAGAAGCGAAATTAGGTTAGGTTATCGCCGAAAGGCTCGCAGTAAACCGGATATCGAGTGTCAATATGCGAAGGACGTTCGGGGCTCGGGGCCAATATCGAGTGAACGATTCTCGAGCGTAGCCGGTCTATCTCGAACGTTCGAGAACGTTCGCGAGCATTAATATTCCGGGGAAACGGTGGATACGGCTTCGTATTCTATGCCTGTAGGAATTTTCTTGTTCTCGGTTATGCGACCTTGCGGTAAACCCGTAGCCACGATATTCGCGCATTATTCGCGTCGAGCTCGCGTTCTTGCAATTAAATGCCACTGCACGCCTTACCACTCGCGCAGCTCGGCCTCTGACCGCCCTCGAGACACGACTACTTTCCAACTCGTCCCAACAATTTTTCATCGATGCGTTCCTCCTTTTAACCGCGTCCGTCGCGTTTCACCGCATTAAAACCTCCGCTCGCATGCTCGTAACCATATCGCTTTCAAAATTCAAACCGAACCCATTTGCCCATAAAATTAGCTTTTTTCTCGCGGTAACCGGGCGAAGCCCTTTTAAGGAGATACGAGTAGAAGACTACTCGTTATTTTCAGAAAATACAGCGTCCTAAAGATTCCCTTTTAAATCATACGTCGAGTCGGTAAAAACCTGATTCCATTATCCGAGAGTTAATTGCTATCTACGACATTACAAGTAGCTCCGTAAGTTTAATTTATAGAAATTTGCGTGTTGACCAGTGAACAGAAACGCGTAAGAACGCGGTATTTTTATCGCGCGAACGATGCACGACGATTAAATTCTTCCGAAGGTAGAAAATAAACTCGTTGAAAGATTTCGTTTTTCTAAGAAGCGTTTCGGGACGAATATATACCGAGATAACGGTGTAACAGCGGAACGAAGGACTTTTTCGAAAGAGTAGATCCCTTTGAAGGAGCGGATAGTAGCGAAGTAGAATAGTGAAAAGCTGCAAGAGCTTGAACCTTTTTGTACGTGACCGAGAACTAAGTCTTGGATTATCCTCGTTGCTGACATCGACGTCGTGAATTCGATGCGGTTCCGATAACATTCTGCGCGCATTCTTGCATCGAAAGATTTCAAAGTCAACGCGATTCCTTTTCCGATAAAAGATTGCGCGAAATCGTAGCTCGAGTACTTTAATATAAGTTAATAACGGGCAGAGCTACGCGCCGATGATCACTGGTGTGTACGACACGCGCACCCAAGCGCACTCGGTTTTAATAAAAAATCTAATTTTCCATGCGGCCAATAAGAAAGCCACAAGAACAGAAATTTACCCTTACAGGTAGCTACCGAACATTTATTAATTCGTATTTTCCTGGACTTTAATAAATCTCGCAGCAATGGTCTTTCATCGAGGAGAATAAAAACACTTGTCTAGCTCGATTTAGAATACTACGTGGGAGAATAACGAAAACAAGATCGTTTTTATCTTTTATTATAAAGCGAAGCATCGTTTTCGTAATCGGAGATTCGTTGCGTCGAGAAGTCTAATGACTTCTCAGGGAATCGGAAGAAAAGATGGAAATTTTGAAATTGAAAACAATTAAAAACGAATAAAAGGAGGAAACGTCGATTACTCGTGGCAACCGCGAATAATTGGCTTTGTTCGATCGAATCGGACGACGGTCGTTTTCCATGCGAATCGATGCGTTTTTAAAATAATGACGACTTGCCGATTATACGTTATCGTATCGATCGTCGAATCGCGAATAATTCGATACAATAAATTCGACGCGGCAGTTTCCTACGTTCGAATTAATTTGCCGGAAAGTTTTGATCGCCCCGAGTCATAATCAGCGTGTTCCGCCGCGTATTTCAAGAAAGTTAACCTTTCGAAAGAGAATCGAAGTTTCGCGGACAAGAACGACGGGGCTAAAGTTTTCGCTCTCCGTCCGTTGTTCGTCGATTGTTAATTTTCGCGTGGTCCGCGCGAAAATCAGAACGCAAAGAGGAAAAAAGAGAAAAGAGGTAAAAACGTGGAGCATTAATTCCAACCGCGTGTATCGAGGAGAAGCAACAAAAGGGAACTTTGCTCTGGTCTTTTTTCGCTGGCCAACGGGAAAGACTTTTATCGGGTTTTCCGTGACGCTTGATTACACCCGCCCGACTTTGATTGCGTTTCCCTTTCGTACGTTTCCGACGAATATACCCCTCGCCCCTACACCGACTGCCACTTTTCCCTCAAATTACCGATCTTTACCTTTCCGAGATCACTCCGCCACCTTTGTAAATATTTGTTCGCTTCCGAGCCGTACTCCGTTTCGTCGTCTTCGACCGTGTCCAAATACGAACGTTTAACTTCTCGTCGCTTCGTGTTCGTAGCTTTTGTCGCGCGTTGGCCTGCGCGATCGATCGACAGTTTTCCAGGCTGATTTTAAAAATATGCTCACCGAATTACCTACGTAACCCACCCATTAGGAACTCCGTAATTGATTCGAGCAAAAATGTTTCTTATTTTCGAACGCGTTCCGTTCTCGAAGCAGCGATAAACGAATACACAAAGAACGTTAAAGCGAACGTATCGAGCAGCTTGTCCGTTAGCGGAGCTTCAAAATTGACTATAGTTCGGTGTTGAGCGATCGATTAAATTTACTCTGTGAAAGGTATCCGAGTTAACGAGGAACCTGAAACGGACGGAACAGCGGATAGAACCAAAGACAAACGTTGAAGACGAGATGGTTTAGTTCGGCAACGCGATACTGTTCAGGTATTATTGCTCACAGCTCGTATCCGAATATTTTTAAGATCCTCCTCTCTCGGTAACCAAACATCGCATCTTCTACATAGCTCTCGTTACGTTGCTAGCATATCGAATCGGTAAAACATTTCGTTTTCGGCCATATTTTACCTAACCTAACCAATTTTCACCGCGATGGTCCATATTTCGTAGCTGCGGCGTATTCGCGAGTAGAAACAACTCGTAAACTCTGAATCAACTTATTTACGCGATCGTCGAACACGCTAACCGTAACTTGACGGCAAACGATGGACCGACGTGCTTGAAACTTTGAACTTTGGTACTCACGGTTAAGCGCGATCGACGTCGTCGAAAAATATGGTGAGGTTGTCGCGTCCTTCCGGATGCCCGTACGAAGGGATTAGTCGTTAGTTCCAAGCTACGACTCGAAGAACCTCGTGTCGTCTCGAGACGTGAAAAATATGTTGGACGTACGAAGAGAAAATTTGCAGAGAACACTGTAAAAGAAAAAAAAAGTATTAGCCGAAAAACGTCACCGAGAGGTACAAGTAACAGCGTTTTCTTGTAAATCACGAATATCCGTGTATAACGTATACGGGGGCCAAACACTCGGCATCCGATACGTTTTGTAGAAAATGAGCAAGTCGTTTGCTCAGGGATTCTCTCGAGAACGAAGGATGAGGAAACTCGTTCCGGGAGTACGTCCCTACGGCACGTACATACCTCGTCGAAGGAAATATGGAGCGATTTTTTTCGGCTACTACATATATGTATATTCCGGCAACTCTCGGCTACGTCTACTACGTCTAGGAAATTTATTTCTCGCGATCAACAAGCGCCGACGGGCCAACTACCGATTATCTTTCTGTTTCCATTTCCCTGGCATTTTCTCCAGCGGAAGGCTCGGAAATTTTCAAATCGCCAAATTTCCAAACGAAAAGATGCCACCTGGTCGCCGACCGAATTCTTTACGTTCAGTTTCGCTCGCTACAGAATGAAGCAACGCTTTTTTTTTTTACGACACGAGCGGTGAAAAATTATCGAATTTAATTGACAATCCAATAAGAAGTCGCTGCACGACGTAGTAAGCTACGTGGAATTGTTTTCGCTGCGCGATCAACGCGTTAAAGTAGCTTTCTTTTAATTTCGCGGCGAAAATCTGTGAGTCTTTGTAGAACCGTTAAAGCGAGCAAGAAGGCGGTAAAAGTCGAAGGAAAGAAGAGAAACGTTTCGCGATTCGCAGGACTCGGAACTGTGCATTTCCCTGGGGCTGAGCTTGCAGTATCTTCGAATGACGGTGGTTTGTTGGCTGGCTGCGATGTGTCATCACCTTTACGCCAGTGTTGCCTCTATACCGCGACGCGACGACCCACCAACTTACCTCAAGTACAGCGTGTTCGCCTGGGGTGCACCTTTTCTCAATCTCGGCGTCGCAACGTTTCTGCAGATCCGCGAGGCGAACGACATCTGGAACATCAGGGATCTTACGCCCTTTAATTGCTGGTAACTCTTTCAAACACGACCGAGCAACGAACTTTCTTCTACTACAGAAATGATCTACCAGCTTCGCTTTTCTGTCGTTCTACGATAATACGCGACTCTTAAACGTAAAATTAAACAACGAGTCGAAACACTCGTAAAAAGAATGGGCTGAAAGAAAATAACGTCGTAAAAAAAAATATATATTTTCAGAAAAACGACTTAACTTCTCTACGGAAATTTAAAAAACAATCTCGTTACTTCCGAGGTACGCCGCGTATATCCTTCGTAATTTATTTCGTTGATAAAAAACGACATTTGCAAAACGCCCTGTAATAGGTAGACGAGAGATAAATAAGGGACATCGTTGCGCGGAGACGATTTAATGCCGTGGCAGTGTTAAAATACTGCTAAAAGTATAGGATATTATCTCTGTAATTGAAAGTCTTATCGAATTTCAGTGATTCCGGATAGTATACACATAAATCCAAGTAAAATCTATATTCCGAAACTTTTTCTTTTATCTCCTTTTCGTTTACCTATTACGATATTTTCAAGAAGAAAAAATCTAAACAATCGTATTTCATTTTACGTCTCCACCTCCTCCTTCTCTTTGTCCTTTGTCGTCCAATCTCTTCTCGTGTCTCGAACTTCTTTCCGTTCCGAAGTCACCGAATTTTCACAAAAATTTCTTGAAACGATCTTATACGTACATAGCGTGTTCGAGCCGATCGTAAAACTTGCGAGAAAAATTGAATCGACTTGGACCGATTTAAGATTTAAATTCATTGCAGGTTCCTGGGAACTAAAGCGACGATTTATGCATACGGTTTACCGGTGATTCTTTTGCTCCTTGCTGCGGGATACTATCTGATCAAAGCTGCTATCGTGTCCAGGTATCGTAAGAAATATTTTTAAAAGTTGCTTATTATCTTAATAAAACATGCCCCTTGTTTAATCGTTTCTATCGTTAACCTTGGAAACTTTCCTGATTATTGTCACCGCTTACTCTGCTAATTGGCCGAGTTCCTGTCCCCGTGTCGGTTATCTTGCCGCTTATAACTTTGCATCGTTTCTCTTTACACCGGTTTCGTTTGCGCAGATACACGTGCAGCATGCAGCTGGAAATTAAGCAACGCGAGAAAATGAAACGAAGAAGAGCGTTGCAGTTGGTGCTCTTTTTAAAAGTGAGCATGATAATAGGTCTGGTGGCTGGTTGCGGAGTCGCATCTAGGATATGGAAAGTCCCTTTCTTGTGGGCCGTATTTTGTACCGGCCATTCTCTGCAGGTAAAATCGTACCGCCGCTATTAATATTCGTTTACCGTAACGGCTGGTCCATCGTAACGTAGCAACGCGAGTTGTACGTAGCCATGCTTCGATAACGATGACGTTCGCCGAAAAGTATCTAGTCTCTTACTAAGTACATATGTCCAAGTACTCGAGCATCTAATAATTCGCTAACTCGTGAAACAGAGGTATATTCAAGAAAAATATTAAACAACTGAAATTTGGAATACGAGGCGCCTGAGTTTCCACTCTACGAGAATGCGGAGTAGCGTAAAGTTTTCCCTGATATTACTCGGGAACGTTCCATGTTTTTCAATTAGTTCCAAAGTAAGGTTGAAGTTTGAACGAGCACATGTACGACTTTTCTACTAATGCGCCGCTGCGAACGCCGACAAAAAAATCTGCGCAAAGTAGCAAGCACGGCTCATCAGGTTTAGCAACTGCCATAGTTAACCCTTATTCTTCCATCGACACTCTTTAAAAAGCTTAATAGCCACGCGAATACGCCCTACACCAGTTGCAAACTTAGCAAATCGAGATTCGAAGAAATTTCTTTGATAGCTAGTAGAACTTGGTAGTAGAACTAAAATTCGTCAGGGTTACAGCAGCGTCGGAATCTATACGCGTTCCAACGGAGCAAAAGCATTCGAACATTTTGAAACTAAAACGCGTTGAACCCGTCAGATGAACCGTGAACGCGAAAACTCGTCCGTTTTCTTCGCGCGAAATAGGAACTCCCGTCCGTAAAAACTTTCCTCGGACCGATATACGAGTCGCAAACGGCTTTTTCACGGTCGTTTCCTTCGCCACCGAGGCCAGTTTTTTTCTTATCTATGCTTTCCATTATCTTTTTTTACCTCGTTCGATAATCTATCGTCATTTTTCTATTATCCGACGTGACCAACGTTTTCGAGCCAACGATCGCTTAAATTTTAAATGATCGTATCGATTCCTCTCCTTTTCTCTTAGCGTCGTAATTTTATATACGTGGTCGCTCGCGATTATCCTAGTACATCCTGTAAAAGAACCATTTCATTTGCAAAGCTGTCCTCTCAATTTCGATCGGCGAATTTAAATGCCCCGGAGAAGTTTCCAGGTACTTTATACAGGAGTATACCGTAGAAATAATAAATAAAGAAGCGTCCCCCCGTTGAAGGTTTAGAAAGAATTTCGCTAAATTTGGTAAAAAAAAAAAAATTGGCGTGCCGCATGCGTAAAATATTAACGTAAGCCGTAAGTTAGTCGATACTATCCCGTGTTTCGCATGAATAAATATCATGATTCGATACGAAAGGCGAACGAAATTGTAAACAGATAAAAGCGATTGGAAAGAATCCGCTTTGATTTCGTCGACAAAGAGCTGGTTAATTAAACCGAAGGTCGCGTCTCGTCGCGAAAGACTTACTCGATTAAGACAGAAGCACGCGTGGTTCGAAGCGACTGGTTGTTAAGGCAATTTATCAAGGAGAATGCTTTTAAACATCGAAGAAAAGATGCTGGCGAAATTGGGTCGCGTGCGAGACCTTCGAGGCAAATGCTCGGTAAACACGAAACATCTGAACCATAACGAAAAGCGAATTATTCATAGGAAACGAAGCGGATGCTTTTGCTCGGAACTCGTACTCGAAAGAGGTAGTTGGCTTGCCAGAAAGGGAAGCCCGCTAAACAACCCCCCGGAGGAAAACTCGTAAAATTTTCATAACGAGCCGGAGGGATTCTCGCCTCTACCTCCTAACGAAATCTTTATTTCGAAATTTCACGCGACCGAAATGAAATACGGCGCAAAGGGGGCGCGTTCGAACGTAGCACGATGATTTCCCGTTAAATCATTGCCATTGTGACAGACGCGTTATACTCGGACCAACTTCGTTAACGACGTTCGCTCAGAATTTCTGCTACGCTCGTGACACGGTTGCACGAAAGCCGCGGTTACTTTTCTGTCCCTACATTTCTACGGTTCGACGTTTCGAAAGTATGAAATTCCTAAATTACCGAATTGCAAAATTCCGCTGAACCCGTAACGATAAACGACAGAATCGATAACGTAGAGTACTCTAAAACGATACATCGCGTCAACGCGTAATTACCGCATATTCGATAACGATACGTCATATTATCGGAATCGAAGGAGTTAAGTGTCAGAAATACGAACGAAACGATAGAGACCGACTCGCGTTGCATGGAGTAGCACTCGTTCAATTTTACGCGTCTATTACGGTGAACGTTCTCGTTCGCGGAGTACCAATTTCGTTTCTTACAATTAGTTTACGCGCTTCTGACGCGATTATTTTTCACTCGTTCACGTTTTATTGTTCGTAACAGGGTCTAGCCGTAGCGTTATCCGTCGCGTGCAACTGCAGAGTGCTGAAAGTTTACGCCAGGAAGTCTTACAGGCAGCCGAAACAACAGGTAAATTACGCTCTCTTTCCGTTTCTTTTCGCATCTCGAGAACGCGCATTTATTCTCGAAACACGAGCCATCGTGTTCGCGGCCGATATCGTTTAAACGGTAATTTCTGCTCCAAGAAGCTCGTCAATTTTCAATCTTCTCTTCGATCTTCTTATTAAAAGCAGAAGTTCGGTGCAACGCGCTCGTCGAGCTTATCGTCCTTGCTTCGCGAAACGACAGGAAAACTAATCGAATAAACGAGATAATCGATTCTTTCAGCGTTTTTATCGAAATAAAATATTGGCAGAATAAAGAGAGAGGAACGCGTTTAACGGGAACTCTGTTTAAACGCGGCCAACCGAATCACTTTTGTGATAATTTTCAACGAAAAAAGAAAAAAAAACCGCTCGATCGCGTCGAGATTCGAGAATCGCGTTGCAACAGCTGACGCAAAAATCGATACTTTTACAGATCGCTCATTCGAGTAGCAGCATGCAACTGCTCGCACCTGCTCCGGATCCGGTGTAGATTCAACCCGACCGTAGGACCACCTTCTCCTCGATAAACACGGAAAATCAAAAGGATGGAAACTAGACGCGGTCACGGTATCCGAGGATTACGATTCGTTTCGAAACGCTACAACTCTCCTCCCGAATTCGTTAACCCTCGTCTAGACGAAGACCTCGACTAGTACCTCGATTTCCGAAAACCACCAAACTACCCTCTAAGGCCAGCTTCCTCTTTGTTCGAGCCGTATATCGAACATATAGTCGATTATAGAGAACGAAAGAGAAGAAGAATCGAAGAGGAAGAATTTCCAAGTTCTGGAAGCCGTTAAGAGACGAGTAAGACGAGTAAGAGTAAATCGCGATTTACCGTATGTTAGCTTCCCACCGCGTTCAAAGATCACGAATCGGAATGGAAGCTTTTCGTTTCGCATCTCGAGAACCTGCTGTTGCTGCTGCTGCTGCCCGAACGGTGAAATCGAACAATCGAACAAAGATCGGGAAACACGAACAAGAAAACCGAAGATAATCGCATCAACATATCATCGCTAACCCGCCACGATTCTTCTACGATACTAGGCGTATAAGTTACCGCGCGATCGTCTATAGATCGCGTTAGCAAGAACCGTGCATGCATTCCTCCAGCGGAAATTTCGATAACGACTCGTCGTAACTTTTCGAGCGAATCGAACCGTCTCCGATCGACCGCGTACGGGACGACAGGCTTCGTAGCAAAACCATTTTTTTCTCGCTTCTTCCTGATCGTTTCAGCGAAACTTCTATAAGCGAACCGCGGCTGAAACGTCGTTAACAATCGCGTTTCCGAATCGGCAAATTTCTATTCGTTAGAAACGCGTGGCCCTCCCGCGTACACTTTTTTCTACCAGCGTTGGTACACGAGATCCGAGGAAAAAAGAAAGAAAATAGGCAAAACTTATCCGTAGTATAAGTTGAAAATGAAGAGCGAGAGGAAGAAGACTCGAGTCGGTTGCTTTATTCGATACAAATCGACGCATTTTTAAATACATACGAGCGCTTTCTTATCCTCGTTGGAAAAATATTAGCCCGAAAAAACTTAAACTCTGTTTATCGATAGAAGACGCGAAGGCGAAAACGACAAAAATCCTCGATCACTCGACAGAACACGACCTGTGAAATTCTAATACTTCGTTACAGCCACGGTTTTGCCTTTTCTTCGATCGGACCTTATACTCGATATCGTTCGCTACAGCGATTTCGAAAACGAAAACGCTGTTGTAATTAATCGTTCGAACGATATCTTGAACACAGTCCTCGTCGAAAAGTAGAAAAAAAATGTTCGAGATGGTCGTGTATCGAGACGGACCGGTAGATTTTCACGGGACGATCATGGAAAGAAAACGATACGAAGACGATCGCGAGTCGATAGGATAGGAATCGATAGTAATCGAGTCGTGTCGAGGAGAAACGACGTGACGGAAATGGAACGCGTCGAGTATATCGATCGAACGCGAAAGGAATCCACGCGCGACGCTTCCGAGCGTATACGTTCCCCGCGTCGCGGTTTGCGGCTGGCATTCCCTCCTACGATGCAATTAACGCTCGGTAATGACCTATGCGTTCGCATTAGTACGCGTTAACCACCGATACTCTGTAAATGTAAGAGCATGTAATTATCAGCAAATAAATATTTTCAACTCCTACATGGGATACTTTTACTGGTTCGATGAAAGCCCCGATATATCCCGATAGCCGTGTGGCCCGCTTTTCTAAGAAAAAACTCGCGAGTTTCAGCGGCCGAACATTAATACCGGACGAAACGCTTCGACAGAGCGAAACAAAGAAAGAACATGACGAGATGGAAAAGTCAGCGCGGAAGGTTCACAGTTGAACGCGTAATTATTGGAAAAGCAATCCGTTTTAATATCTCGCTACCATATTATACGTTGGTCAACTTTCAAAAGAATCGATCGTCCATTTCACGGTTACTCGTCGTTTTCTTTTCAACTGCCAAACGAGTCCTAATGATCCGTAGTTTAACTCGATTTTACAGAAAATTTTCAATAAAATTTTCAGTATCTAGAATATTTCAGCGAATTCGTAGAAATATCTTGAATTATCGATTTGTCGGTGTAACAGCTAGCGACTTTGGTTTCTATTCGAATTTCTCGATTTAAACCGTGAATAACACCGCTACTTTTTTCTAACGCGATAACGAACCGCTACGACAATTCTTCGTTTCTTATTGTCCACCCGCTAATATTACATCACCTATGTTGTAATTCGTAATTCTGTACGAGATGCTTTATTCGGGTCTAACCGATAAAACTCTCGTCCAGCATAAAATTAACATAACCTTCCTATACGTAATTCAAATAAATGATGTACCCCAAGTAATAGATCGATACCTTGGATCGTTTCGTAGGAGAAACGTGCGATAAGAGGTTGGCAGCGAATAAGAATAAGAAATTGGTAACCGATTTGGTAAATGTTGTTCGAGTGACTGAAACGCATTCGTGTCTTGTCCCACTCTGTTCTAACAGCAAACTGACATTTAATTATCGAGAAGCTCCACGATGGGTGGGTGCAACCAGCAACCGCACCCTTTTTTCTCTCTTTGCTAGCCAGCAAACGGACTCTTTTATCGGTTCGACGTGTTAGAGAGATCATTCCACCCTCGATTACGGATATTGTCCTTTAGCGTAACCTATTTTTCCCGGCGTTGCGTGATCGCGCTACGCGATTTTTTATTACTCCCGTTAATAAAGCAAGGCTGAATTAAGACGGAGTAAACGTATCTTATTTTACCGACGTCGCGTTCGGTGAATAAAACTATCGAATAATTTGAATGAATCGATGTGCGGTGGTTATACGGCTCGTTATTCACGGACAGTTTATCGAGCATCGAAGTAAGTAGGTAAAGGTGAAGGTGGGTCTTACCCGACCCTCGCACAACTACGCTGGATCGTCGCTACAGTGCCACCGAGATTTATATCGTAGCTCGAGCGAACTTTTACGCACGCTATGACCGCTATGCGTTCTACCGCAACGCGTTATAGTCGATGTTGTCAATTTTCCGCTGCAACAGTCCCATCCATGACACTGCGCCAAAAATTTACACCTAATGCCGAACATGTAATAACATTTTCATCGCATAAGATTACGACTAAAAACTATATTTATCTAGGAAATATAACTAGGAAACCCGTTTCATCACTCTTGACAATCGATGCGTTAACCAACAAATTACGCGCAATCACGATGAACCCGTATGTCTTTCAACGATCTGACATTATTTTCCAATCGACCCTTGTAGATTACGGGATTCGCAACCGAGCCAAGAACACACGAGACAGAGAGAGAGAGAGACTGCGACGGGTAATCCAATCGGAACACGAAAGCCGCATTACGAATCGGATAAATCTGGAGAATAAAAATGTTCGAACAGTTCGTGAAATTACCACGACGAAACGCGTTTCCCTTGTTCCAATTAATCGTTGCTTCTAGTCAACGATCGCCTCTTTCCATTACGATTTTGTCGTATGAATTAAAACGTACTCGATCGATCGAGACGATGAATCGAGCGAAAAGTTTAAATAAGTCGCGACGATTAAGACATTTTAGAAAATGAATAACAAATACAATTGCGAATACGGATATCGAAACTCTAGAAAAACGTTAGGAAGCATTATACTCTTGATAAATTTGATAATTTTTCAAATTTTCAAACGCTTGAAACGTTCGATATATTCTTCGCTTTATTTCGAATAAAAATTATGCCACTATTTTCGATTTAATTGAAATATTAAACCACGGATATTCTACATCTTATTTATGTATCCGGTACTTTCATTAGTTAATTTTAGAAATTACCTCAGCCGTTGGACTCTGAAATGCTGTGTAGTCATCTATCAGCAAGAATAATGAACCGCTGAAAAGTTGCGGCGAACTCTGTTACTACGGCTCGAGTGGTTCGTCGTGCTATCTATCGTCCATCGTAAAAACTATGCATTTTCTTTTCCCTTTTCCTTTCAACGCGTTCGATGGCAAATAACGGCAATAACGGAACAATTTTCTGCGATACCGCGTCGGTTCTCGATTTCGATAACAGATGGCGATAATATTCGGCTCAATGTACCGGCTGATTTTCGAACAATTACGAATATTTACGTAGAAATAAAAGAGTAGAGCGTCGTTTTGGCTATTATGTTCGAATACGTTTCTCTTTCACGGCACTTTCGATTATTCTTCGCTATATTAAACACGAAAAATGTTTTTACAAACTTTTATGCGTACGCCTATCTGTTCCGATTTAGATGAAAAACTTCGGAATCAAATTTAATAAAATTTACAAAGTTTGTAAACGACATTATGCGTTTCCAACAACTTTCAACTTTTAACATTATGTCCTATTATTCTCGAGTAGGATATACATATATTCTTCGATTGTTCCTACTTAATAATTACAATTTAATTGAATAATAATAATCTCTGTCAACTCTGTTTTCACGAATAACCCGCAATAAGCAACAATGAGTGATATTGCTAGTAAGTACTAAACTAATTGATAAACGATCAACGATAAGAATTCGTAATCGCTGTTAATTTTATGAGTTAATGTCTCCAACTCGGTAGAAATTTTCGTTTCGATCTTTTGATATATCCTACGATACGTTAAATATTTGCTACTTTAAACGGAAAGATACAAAATAATTATCTTCTTGATGAAGGAAAATAGAAATATCGCGGATTTAACCACATTGGTATATACCATACAAAATGATTGTATTGTATATATATACTACTTCTCTCAACTATTTACTATTTCCTAACAGTTCATTACCTAACAAGTAATTTACATGTCAGAAACTTAAGCCATCTCGATGAAATATCGACAGTGCATCAATATACATTTTTGAATCGCCTAGTTCACAAGCGACATTAACGTTTCTTAATTATTATCGGATTTAACGCACCTTGTTTCGATAAACGTTGTAACGACTGATTTATTACTCGCGACATTAAAAAGTCTACCAGTATCGTAACGTAACAGGAGCAAATTACAAGTCCACCATAATTGTTCTGTTCCAGATTCTTGTTAATTCGTAGTTTCCAATTTTGTCAACGTATCTAACATAGAGCATCTAATCATCAAAATATAAAAAACAAGCAGCGCACTAGCAATCGTTGTTTTTATAGAAAAAAGGAAAAATGTTTGTACGGAAACGTTAAAACGTGTAACAAACGAAAAATCAAGTTCAACAATTTTTAGTTTCAGATAAAATAAACGGCTATCGCGCAAGACGTAAAATCTAAATAAAACATTTGAAACGCATCCGCGTTAGGTTAAGCGATACGAGAACCTTTGTCGAAAATTAGATAAGCATACGTGTGCGCGTATACATGTAGCTATATTTACGCTATCAGCGATCTACCGTCGTAATATCGCAACGGTTAGTTCTTTCATAAACTTATTCGTGTAAAAAAATATCCAAATTCTATTTTAACAAATAGATTAATTTTCCAATTTGATTTTTTCTTATGCCGTAAACAAGATTTTCCATACATTTTTGGACCAACAAGAGCATTATTATAACGTGTATCAAGAATGAATGTACACGCACTTCGATTTATCGTAAAAATCTTAATATCGAACTTCTTGGACATTTTTGTTTTTCATAAATACCAGTTATTTGTATACTTATGCATGTATGTATGTATGTATGTATGTATTTATGTATATAAAATTTACCGTTTATTCACTTAAAATAAACTAAATAATTGATAATGTAATGTCATTAAACATTTTTGATTGAATCAACAAAAAAAGAAAGATATTCAAAGCTCTACATTTATGTATTTTTATATAACACGACGCTCACGCTGGCAAACCTCGCTCCGATTCATTTTTTTTTTTTCTTTCCTTGTTTTCTTTCTTCCTTTTTTTTTCGAAGATAAGATCAATTGCCATACACGAAGCTTAAACCTTAACTATGTACACGCGTATCGCATTTGATTTTAATCTCTCGTAAAAGCGACGCTAGGTCTCATCATGTTTCCGATAAGAAAAGAAAAAGGCGACATAGAATGGCAAGTTCTATGACTTCTCGGTGAAACATTAATAATCAAAAGCGATCATTAAATCGATGGAAACCAAATCTTCGTGTCTATATTTTTTCTTTTTCTATTACACGATTACAAACATTGAATGATCTCAACGTCGCTTTTAATTACTTATAAAGACTTATTTGATAAACAATTGGAGAAAAATTAACTCGAGTTTCTTTGTACAGAATGTCGAACCAGGAGCTACATTTTTATTCCTATGGGCCAAAGAATATGCAAGCGCGAACGAAACAAACTGCTTTTCTTCATTGCACATCGTTTGAACGTCGTGAGCGTTCAAATGATTAAATTTATATACCATTTATAAAGTAGATTTTATTTCCGTGTTTCGTTAAAAACTGTAATGTTTCAATTAATGGTGCATTGAATTATATATCATCTATATCTGTACACTCACAACCGTTCAAATACACAATAATATCAACATATTTAATATTGGACCATTATGAACAAAAAAAGTGCTTAATAAAAAAGATTTACACATCACAGAATATATCGACATGTTGCAACATTCTACTATTTAAAAAAATACGTATGCACAACTCTATCTTACAGTCAGTTTTTATTCGAAAGATAGAAACGAAGCACACTTTCCTTTGTGGTGTTAGTTACAAGGAAAATTAAAAAGAAAAAAAAAAAAATATTAAAAATAATAAACCGGTTATTATTAGTAGCATTATGCGAGGAAGGAGACAATAGATATCACGCCACGACGCGTTTCTCAGAAATTTTATTTCTGTATTCCATGAAAAAGAGAAATCGTTTCACCATAATTCTCATATATTCCATTTCATTCAGTCATTATTTATATAAGATAAGGTATTACAGTAATTTGCTATGTACGAATTAATTTCAGCTACTTCCATATCAGATCTGAATTGAAGACTGTTATTTAGAGACTCCGACCTCAGCTCTGATTTGAAAACAGCTTGTCTATATAAGTCCATATTAAATATATTTTACAATAATATTATCATTGTACATGAACAACGTACGCTCTACACCTCGCTTTGTATCGTTAACTAATCAATGCAACGAGTCGTATCACTCGATCCGAGTATAGGCTAAATTAAAACTACTATGATGGTACGCTCAGTACCATTAAATATACTAATCATCAAGTATGTATTTACTCTGGTAATGAATGTGTAATGTACCACACACCATAATATTTTATCCTCGAATTAAAATGAAAAGTAATATAAACTCGTGTGCGCTGATTAGAATAACGATCGGCAGAAAGGTGTCAATTTGTTAAAATAGACGAGGGGACTGGATTTGTAACCCCAATGTGTGCGCCGCCCTGGTACCTGCTACAATAAAATTAATATTTTACAAAAAAGTCCTTGCTTTCAAAAAAGTTATAACTACGTTTACAATTTAACACCCTTTACAATTCAATTTTTGTACCGCTTAATAATATCGATATACTATATTGATGTTTGTAAAAAAACAAATCTTTATACTCATATCCCAATGTAATGTATTATATTAGAATATAATACATTTGTACATAATACGTATTTGATTAAAAGAGACCAAGGACTCTCAGGAAACAAGTATACGTCCCATTTTATGTTTGTAGATAATCACTTTCGTATTCATTAACGATAACAATGTGTATCTTTGAAATTATATTAAAGAAAACAGTATAAAATCTATACTTTCTCATATTTTCTACTTTAAATTTTCGTTCGATTAAAAGTCCAAGTAATCTTAAAGATATCTCGAACAAATAATTACAGAAAAAAAAAAAATGCTTACATGAAGTTGGTAAACAGGCGAAAGAAGGTTATTCCTTATTTTCTTCAGTAGTAGTAGCGTTAGAAGGGTTTTGAGACTCTGAGGAAGATGAAGGTGGCGCTTCTGTTGTGGTGTCTGTCGCATCTTGACTCGAATCCGAGCTATCCTTTATGTCCTCCTGTTTTTTGTCCTCGCTGACAGTAGAGCTCTTGGTATCTTCTGTAAAGTTTTCTGATTCTTCCGCTATCTTCTCCTCCTTGAAATTAGAATCAAGCGTCTTTTCAGCCGTCTCTTTATTTTCTGCTTTCACAGAGCTTTTGTCCTCGCTATCTGTCAATTTTTCTGTATCATCTTTCTGTTCGTCAACATCCATCTTCATAGATTCCTCCTCAGAATGTTTTTCACTTTTATTGTTAGCTTCTTCGTCGGTGTTATTCTCATTATTTTTCTCTTGTCGTTTAGGACGCCCGCGTCCACGACCAGTGCCTTTCGACGATGTGTCTCTCTTTTCCCTTTTGGGTGGAGATGGTACAGCTGTCGATGAAGGTAAACCACGTGCTGAACTGCGAGTACGCCTCCTTCCTTCCACTTCTCCTACTACTGGGTTCAAATCCTGCAATTAATACGAATATAACAATTAATCTTTTCTCTAAGGCTTTTATATTCTCAAATTTTTCAAAACATGTTAACATACTTAAAACAGAACTATAACGAAAAACTTTAAATGGTATAACCAGAAGGATTTTTCTATTATTAAATTTATTATTGAAATTATGTAAGGGAGTAAAATAAACAGTGAAAATATATTGAAAAAATGAGCATTATGTAAAAATTGGTAATTACAATAATAATAAATAATGTGCCAATTAATCTAGAAAGTACGCATGGCTATTCATAATTGGCGGTCACGAAATGTATTGGCGGGGCATCGTCCCCTCCAGAGAGCTGAAAGTATTCCCCTTCGCCCCTTCTACAGCCCTTCATATCCCCACTCTTGACACCCTTCTGCTCACGTAGGCAAGCAGAGTCGACGAGGATAAACGCTAAATGGAGGGAAATAACCAGGCGAAGGGGTGAAAACCTTGGCCCCCTAAGACCTTAAGAATTGTTTTGGACTTTCGATAAGCCGACTCTTGCTGTATGATTTATTTGAAAAGAGCATCAACGAATAGAGTAAAAGAAATAGCAACACACCTTTGTGAGACGTTCCCCCTCAAGGGCCATCCTTTCGAGTGTGGAGAGTCTTTTCGTACCTCCTCGTTTATTTTTCGTTGGACTTGGTTTTTCTTCGCCCGAATGGTCCTGCAAATATTTCACCGCTACATTTTATTTACATTCGATAAAACAAAATATATGTACGGAACACCTCATTCAACGCGAAAGAAACTTAACATGAATTACTATCGTTTTAAGGATTATGTTGATCTAAGAGAAAAACGTACAAACGTGATGATAATTACGTTCGCGATAAGATTATCAAGGACCGTTGAACTATACAGGGACAAGTACTAAGTTTATTTAAGTTTCCCGCCATTTTGCTTAGTCGATATGTATTTCCAGCGTCGTAGATTCAATGCTTTCAAAAGAGCTCGCATTTTCATAGAAAATCACAGAGTACGCGATTTCGACAATAAAATCCATTTCCCGCCTTTTTGATACGATCCCAACTGCCGCTAACCAGCGACTCTCCTCGTCACGGGAGTCACAAATAAAAAACATCCACCATCTTTGGCAATGAAGGACAAACGGCGCAGCTTTGAAAAATCACCGAGTTCGTGACCACGCGCAATAAAGCACCTCTGTATTTTATCTATATGGATTCGTACCTCGCGTAATCACTTTCCAAATAACGTTTCTTCGTCGTTGCACGCATTATCGCATCGAATTTTCGAGAGAACAAGCGTCTCCTTACATTTGAGGGGAGCACACGCCGCCTTAGCATGAAAACTCGGCTTGATGAAGATGTTTCTTGTGCTTCCGACTGCTTACCTTTGACACATCCTCGATGTTGTTATCGTTCTTGCTCTCCGCCTTAATTTCGGACATTTCTTCGCGTCTGAATCACTCAAAAACACTGGAAAAACCACCGTTTCCCAACAAGAATTCGTGCTGAGCCCGGTCGCACTGTTTATACGATAAGCAAAGATGGCGGTTAGCGTGGGTCACGTGATACATCGTCAAACACAGAGCGGGAGTTCTGAGCGCCGCCTCGTGATTAATTCAGCAATTCAACACGTAGCGACGCAACGCGGACAAAACATTTTAAATTCGATCGTTTCATTTTTATTATCCTTTGGTATACTTAATTAGTACCATAATCGCCTAACATCCTTGACAATTCTTTCGTTAAGCGCCGTATCGATAAATTATAATTTCCCTATATAGTTTACATAATCTTTTTCCCAAACAATAAAAACAGTCAATACATTTTTTGTTTTTACTAAAAATTAAAACCAAATACAAAGCGCATAACAAACATTGTATGCTTATAATGTAAGAGATATTTTTCACTTTGTTACTTACCTGTAACAATGAAAAACGAGAACATATTACTCCAATTGTTTTCAATAATCATAATTGACGATTTAATGGACACACAAATTGTTACGTCAGTCGTAACAGTTCGGATATTAATAATATTGATTATCGATGTAAGTTGATATCGAAACAAAACGGACATTGTCGTCCTTTTTACTTCGAAGTACAGCAAAGGTGAATGCGTACAATAGTTTAAAATTAGATGGTATATCAGTTTATCATAAATTGTAAAAGTAAACTTGGTCGCTTCGACATACGGCAAATATATGCTGTGTAATCGAATTGTAGATGTACCGTGTCACCGAATCAATAAATTTATATGCTTTTATAAACATGTAATTATTTATCTTTTAACTGCCAATTTAATGCGTCGGCATTCTTCTGAACCAAAATCTTGCTCTGAAATCGTCACTGCATGTTAAGAAAGCTGGCGCGGTCGGAGAATGAACGATCAATCTTACAGGACCATTATGTCCCAATGATAATAATTGTTTCCTCGATGCATTTCGAGAATTCCATGCGCATAACGATGTCGTAGCTTCATCAGGAAACATTACATAATCTTCGGTATGATTGAAAATAGCTTGGGCTTTATGCTCTTGTTTACCTATCAAAACACAACACTCAATTACAATAAGCGTAATCGATACAATAATAAATATACAAGATGTTACGACTCTTAATACGCTTTTGAGTTTTGATATTTTACCTGTAGTTCCAGCACCTGTATATGCTATTAAACATCTACTAGTAGAAAGTTCCCATAATTTTATCAAAGAATCTTTCCCGGACGATAATAAATACTGAAACCCAGAATTAAAAATTATACTATTCGTCTCGAAATCAAGTATGCAAAGAACAACGCATTCTTTAAATATCACAAACCTTTCCGTTTCTTGTGAATGTTACTGAACATACTTCGTAACCATCGTGTGCTTTTACAAAGGTATTTATACATCGATTCGATACACCATCCCATAGCTTAATACTTCCATCTTTACCAGCCGATGCATAAGTTTTTGCATCTGGGGAATACTTTATGCTGGTTATTCCAGCAGTATGTTGATGACTCGGTATACTACAGACAAAGCACTGTGCTGTGTTAACATCGTATAGTCTCACAACTGGATGATTGGTTCCAACAACCAGAAAATCACCAGTTGGATGAAAAGATAAACAACGTATTTGATCTGCGTCTGTAATAGTCCTAAATGCCTTCTTAACACTAGCCTTGCTGAAATCAAACAGCTTAATGGAAAAATCTCTGCTTCCTGACACCAGAATAGGTTCCCTTGGATGAAATTCTAAACACGTCACTTCTTCTAAATGATCGTACAATGTTCTTATAACTGGATGTCCGCCGGTTTGATCACCGGGTGTCATTTCATCGGGTGCAGATTTAGCCAACATTCTGTCTACATCCAAAATTTTTATCGACGCATCCACCGATCCAGTTGCTATTAACTGGCCGTCCGCAGAAAATGCTCCAGCTCTACAATTGCCTTTGTGAGAGGTAACATAGGCAGTTTCGTACTGGGCTGGCTCTGGAGCTTGTGTCTGAGCTTCCGTTTCAAATTCTAAATCAAGACCAGGCCCCAAAGTATTATCAAACGTGGAAGCAAACGTAGATAAATTAGTTGTATCTTTTTTCGAACGATCAGGTTCATGGGCTAATCCAATTAACATTAAATGAAGTAAACGATCGGACGGGGGGCATGGAGGTTCTGCTTGAATTATATTCGATAATTGTACAGCCAAAGTTTGATGTCCATCGTAAAATAATTGACTAAAAAGTGTATTATAAATTATCAACAAGCTCTAATTAATATAAAATTAGATAATTGTATTTTTAAATACAATAATCTTACATAAATTTGAACAATACAAGAAATCATTCCATTACTTTTAACGTATAAAGAATAATTAGCATACACGTTGAAAAAAAGAAATACGTAACCTGATCATAAGTCTATAAAGCAATTCTCTGCTTTTTATAATATTTTTTGGATCCACTTCAGGTTCCTTCATCGCGTACGAATTTTGTGTTTCACGCTCGACCAATAAATGTTCCTTCTTTCCGGTGGAATGCACTAAATCGTTGTCAAAACGCCCATCAATCGATGCCTTTAACTTTCGAGGTTATATTTCATTCTTCCGAGTGATTGAATGATCTCGTGTTTACAATTTAATTTCTACATAATTAATTGAAATAGTTTTTCATTTAATTAAAAACGAATCTCTTTTAATAGAAACAATTTGATGCGCGTAAAAAATTGACAGAAAGTAGTATGCAGATACTGTCAGAATGGCCGATGTGCACGAACGTTGCGAGTTGAGAAAAAGTTTTTCAAACGAAAGGAACGTGCCTAAGGCGAAACACAAAAAATTTTCATCTTGCAATTACACTATTAAGAAACGACAACCATTTGGTTTAAGAAAACAAAATGGTAAAGATATACTTGTAACTAATAAAACAAACTTTAAGGTAATTATTATGGCAAAATTATAACCTTCTCTTATGTCATTGTCAATAATTTTAATATTTATATTTGATTCCTTTATCACTTTTTTTTTGCAATTATTGGATCAGACTGTTCATTTATTGAAATGCATGAGTTTATAATCAAGTTACATTTTTATATTCATATATAGAATTATTTACTAAACAAATCTATAGAATACATATTGTTGCAATATAAAATATAAACATAATATGTACATTTTTTAATAAACTAATTTTATCATATTTTTTATAATATTAGGCTCAGCTAAAGAAATGCGAAAGACTTCTTGATAACGATAATCCTGAAATATTTATTCATGGTCTTGGAGCTGCTATACACAGAGCATGTAACTTGGCTCTACAGTTGAAAGAGATTCATTACAATGGAGTAGAATTAGACATCAAGACTTCTACTGCATCTATTATTGGTACTTAATTAATATGGGGATCTGAGATAATAAAGAAACATTTTCTCGTTTAAATTTACTAATTTAAATTCACATAACTGTCATATAATGTTATTTTACTCAAAATATAACTGTCATTAACTTGTTGGTTTTTAATTACCAGAAGGTTATTTGAATGCTTAAATTTTTCTGCTATGCTCTGTCAGTATTTAAATATTGATAGTACATCGATATCTTCTCTTATACGTTCAATAATATTGGTAATATATTGATCATCCAAAGTCCCCTATATAGATTACAAGAAACATTGTATCGTTGTTAAATATTTATAATAATAATAATAATAATAATCTGTATTTCTTGCAGATGATTTTGAACCTCTTGATGATGAGGCTGACTACGAAACCATTAATAGGAACAACTCGGCTATACATATTCGTGTGTTTCGAAAATTTTTGATAGGTAGTCTTAAATACCAAGAATAAAGCAACTTAACAAAGGATTATCAAAGTTTTTTGGAAATATTCTACCATTTAATAAACAAAAAACATTCACAACATGATAAATAATCAAATAAAAATAAATTAATAATTGTGCCAGATTCAATTCCCTTAAAATGATATTTTCTTTGAATGAATTAGTACATTGGTTGGGTTTAACAATTTTTGAAATATGGATAAATTTAATTTCATTAACAATCTTTACGGTGTTATTAGCTCTTAAGTTAGACGATAATTATTTTTTGGGTCAATCAGGATGGTGGACAGTGTTTTCGCCACTTTTTGTAGCAGATGGTCTAAACACTTACTTTTGCACAATTATATTTATAAGAATGCATATGGGAGGTATGCTCAAGGATGCTATTCTGCGAGGATTCTGGAGTTTCACATCGCTGCTTTTAATATTTGTTTTCAAGTATCTTTTGTGTAAAAAGTTATCAGGACAAAGTACTCTAGAATATTCGGAAGTTTTAACTCCTGTATTTATTGTTTTACAAATAATAGCAGTTAGAGCATTTCAATTCAATTGATTAGTACAAAGTACTATTACAAAAGTCTGTTATAGAATTTCCATATTAAATTTACGAGTAATGTATAACAATTTTAGAAATATAAAACTTAAATATATTGAATAATTAATTTTTTAGTGGTTTAAACATTTCATTTGCTTTTGTAATAATATAAACATTACAGGGGGTATGTTTTTTGTTCTGTTATTTGTAGAACGATGAACCATTATTAAGTACATATTTAAAATAGAAAAAACTGAAATGTAAACATCGTATACTAATAAAAGACATTGTTTATAGCGTTGTTATAAAATTTTTGTCTTGCGTTTAAGTATGTTAAGGCTATGGATGATTTAACATCACAAATAAAGATAATTTTATATCTTATTCAAATTAAGAATCTGTATTAGTCCGTGTATAATGCATGTTACAGAAAATAACAGAAAGGTAATTGATTTAAATCTAAATGTAGAGTTTACTTTGTTACTGCTGAATATTTATTATACAAGTACTACATCTTTTAACAATTATATTCATTTATTTTTTCATAAACTTTTTATACTATATACTGTATAAAATATAAAAGTTCGATATAAAGATTAAACATTATTACATTCAAGTGTTTAAAATAACGGCCCACTACATTCTATCGTTTTTTTCCGCTTCTATGTATAGCCATTATCTAAATAGGGCCATATGATGAGACTTTGCTGCAACTTGCATTGAATGTTGTTTTTAAATGTTCATTATAGATTCGGATAAAAAAGAAACTCATTATTTTCTTTACAATTTTGAGTAACTGACTTCAGTAAAATAACGAAGCTTAAAAAAATTCAAATTGTTTGGTCCAATTTTAAAAAAGTTATTCAGATTTAATGGATGTCAAAATATTTGTATTATCCATGGGCTTATACAGTTGTAAGAACAGAGATAATATTTTGCATCAAGTAAAAACAGAATATTAAAAAAGTGCAGATGAGACTTAAATAGTAAAATGATATGAATATGGGCATCTAACGAGGTAATAATAAACGATAAAACTGAATTAATTTGATATATTTAGTAATGCTCTACTTAAATTCTAAAGATAAACAATTGACAAGCGTAAAGCTTAGGATGGTCTGAACTCTCCCTCCAACCCTCTATGTGTAAAATCAATATTTCTAACAGAAGGGTGAGAGAAAGAGACAAGGATAGCCGCGAATAGGGGAAGGGGCGCGAGTACAACTACTCTATAAGCAAAGCCTGTTGCTGCTGTCACATTTCAAACTTCGTTGTTGCGATAACTTGCTCCTTTCAATTGGAAAACTTTTATTCTCCCTATTATTACAATTTAAAAATAAGAACTGAAGTTAGTGATGTGCTGTGAATATCAATCCGGAGATTATGGATCTGGTGACTAACTGGACTGATGGTCAGTTGTTCCTTATGTTATCATTTATTTTGCAGTATTAATAAATGAAATAATTTTATATCTTTATTTGAAAGAGTATACATAAACATGTAATTTAACATTAAATATTATTATAAAAATGATAATATAACGAGATACAGTAAAAGAAAACAATTTACTTTATTGTTGTCTCGTATCATTCTGTCTAGATCTTATAATTATTAGTATTTATCTAAACATTTATTTGACTACGCGTATCAATCTTAGACAATTTTTTTATTCCATGACATTATTTTCTTCCAGTTTTAATATTACACATAACATCAATATTTCAAACATGATTCTTTCTTTATACTTCGAATAAAGAACTAAAATACACATTACAATTTATGTTTTATCAGTAGGTACGAACGTTACCTTGCCTACACTAATACTTGGACAAAAATGTGCTTACAATTCAACGGAATCTTCATCATTGATTACAACTCCAAAATTGGTGTCAATAAATCAAGAGTTGAAATGGATTTTTCTTTTACATACATATGGTTTTGCCTGTTTGTTCTTTGTACTTGCATTTTATACATTTCTATCTATTCTACATTTAAGGTATGTATGCAATGATTAATATGATATTTTAAAGATATAAAGGCACATGAAAGTTTTGTTGGTCTTTTCAGGTCTCTTATATCTAGCCAGCCTTTTATGTCTACGATTAATATGTTTTTGTGTATACTCGGAGCATCAAGAGCAATTTGCCTCTTTATAGATCCATACAATCTTAAAGATATCATGCCCAAAATTATTGGATCTGTGATATGGGATATTGGATTTCCCTGTGTCATGTCTGCTTTTAGTCTTATACAATTGGCTTGTTTGCAATTAACTCAGGTAATTTTAACTATGTAAATAATCTTGACATTGTAAACAAAAAAAAAAAAAGAAAATGACCTAATCTTTGATTTAATAAATTTTTAGCTTAAATTTGGACCAGAAAAAATACAGAAAGAGTCTTGCCTCAGTTTAGTTATAACGGCACACTTCTTTTCTGTGATTGCTAGCGACATTGTTCTTGCTTCTCATAACTGTTACATGGTAAAATACGTGGTCCAAACAGTGTTCCTTATTTGGAGTATTCTTTTATATTTGATATTTCTACACGCAGGATACAAAATATTTCATTTACTACGAACTGTACCAAGTAGTATGTTGATGAGAGACAATTCAAATATGCACCACAAAGGTTTATTTCTACAGTTTATTAGTTTTATTGTAGATAAAGCTACATATTTATTAAAAAGTTTTGCATAGATGTTCTATGAGTAATTGTTCAGTCAGTATCACTAATAATATTAAATACCATTTTAGGCATTATGCAATTAGCTATGTTAGCACCCTATAATAACTTAGCATCATCCGTGGCTGCTGCCTTAGTACCTACTTTGCTCAATTCTAAAGTTAAAGACATAGAAGAAGCTGACCCCGCAACTTTTACAACCGATTCAAACAAAACTACATCAGGTAAAAATTAGAATAAAAATATAAAAATGAATAAAAAGTTTTTTGAAACTTTTGCCCTTAACATCATTGCAGAGGGACTTGCTAAAACAGCTAGAAAAGAACAAATTGAAAGGGACACTAACAAATCTCCTTGTAAAGGCACATTACAGGACGAGAAAGTAGTACCTACGTCAACAGTACCAGAAGTATATGTTAGACCTCCGACGCCAACACCGTTGACTATTAATGAACCTATAATAACTGTAACAAGTCCAAGTCGTAGAAGCTCCGTAGCCAGTAGACGGAGCAGCGATGCGTCTAAATCTTCTCGAAGGAATTCAGAATGTAGTGTTAGATTTATAAACGAAGAAGATGGCTTTTCATCGGGATATCGGCGCAACTCTGATTTTAGTCCAAAACATTCACCCGAAATTAATAGAAGACGATCTCCAGATAGAATGTCTAGAAGATATTCCGAAAACGTTACACCATTGGGAAGCGTTAAAGATTTAAGACGATGTTCTGATTTTTCGCACGAAAAAAATCGAAGTTCTCAATTTGCTGCTAAATTGAAAAGAAACAGCGATTTTGGAAACAGGACACCGAGACGAATGTTACCTCCGACTGAGCATTCAAAATTACCAAAAGTTATGGATTTGAGTCCTTCAGGTAAACTAAAATTTACACAAAAATTACGAACTAAAAACACGTATATACAATATATATATATATACATACATATAAAATAATGTATAATTTATCTTTTAATTACGCTCTAGGATCAAGACGCAATTCCGATATTAGCGGTTTTACTCCCAGAATTGAATTACGCCGAAGTTCAGATATTTCTTTCCGAGATAATTCGAAACTTGGCCAAATCAAGTCACTGGATTTAAATCGTCGAAGTAGCGATATAAGTATCAGAACTTTAAGTAGGAGTCCCACTCATGGGCGTAGCATAGTTCCTGAAAAAATGGAGATACAAGAAAAATCTGAATCTGATTCGGACCAACCTGATTGTAGTGAGAAAGCAGCTCTAATGACGGAAAAGAATAAAGATAAAGATAATGATGATGGGAAAACTCAGAAGAAAAATTTGTCATGGAAAAACGAAAAAGAGAAAGAGAATGTCGAAGATATAACAGTCGAGGCTAATTTATTGCCGCAGAACGCAACGTCCGAAAGAAAAATTTCGGTATTTTTCTACAATTTGTTCATCAGTTTTTATTTAACGGGAATGCATTCGCATTACTATGGATTTAAACATTTATTTTCAGACAGGTGATTTCACGCTCCACTCAATACTGAATCACATTGCATACGTAAATAGAACAAAATCTGATACACCTCTGCATATATTAGAAGCAAACACCGCAGCTATTAGAAGATGGCAGATCCGAAAAGTATTGAATGTTACATATGCAACTGCAATTTTAGGAATTCTTTTATGTATTACAGAGATTTTTAGACCACAAGGTAATATTGTATTACGACTACGATCATTGTTTGAATTTATAAATAAACATATCATATCGAAATTAAGGAAAATAACAATTTTGTAACAGAATGGATAAGACTTAACAGTTAATATTAATTTAATATGTTATATAAATTCTATTTAACGTTATATTATCGGAATAAAAATAACTTTTATTTTCAAATTTTTAGGGTTTAGAACTGAAACTGTAAAATGTACTATGGCTATTATTCTATTCTCTCCTAAAACATGGCCCTGGTTTATGCATCAAACTATTTGTAGAGGTTTAGAATTGATAATGGGATGGGCAATGGCAAGTATTACTAAACAACCATCGGTTCGTCCACGACATCAGTATCTGAGTGGTTATCCTAATTGTAATATACATGTGAAACGAGGTAATAATCCTTACATATAAAGCAATATATTTTTAAATCTATATAGATCCAAAGAATTGATATGCCAAAACAAATATTTTTGAAACTTTATACTTTGTTGGTGCATTTATGTTTTAAAATACATAAAAGTATATTTACAATACTTTTTCATGAATATTTTTTTTATATCAGTATTAATATTTAAAGAATCAAATTTGGTGATAGTGTTTCTAAGAAAAGAGAAGAAAATTAAAAGTATGATTCGCTTTCTCTGTTGCCATTAACAATTCGGAATGATTTTTAATTTGTTGCATTATAAAACACAACGCGTTTGGTTTTTTTAATCATAGTAAATAATGATTATGATAAATAAATAATACAAAGGAATCTGATAAATAAGATATTTAAGTAAATATAGCAATAGATCAGAATATTGTTCCAAAGAAGAACAGCGTGTTCTATCTTATACATAAAAAATACATATATCAAATTTTAAAAAAAAAACTTTACATAAGAAATGTTCTTCTAAAGAATATATTTTGATTGAGAAATATTTCTATTTTTACAGTAGATTAGTTTAAAAAAAAATTATTTTGATAATATTTTACGTTTCTGTTTCTTCATCAAATCCTTACGAGAAATATGTTAAATCAAATATAACATGTTTTCATATTATAATAAAATAATGAATCTGTTAAAGGAAAAAAAAAAAAAAAAATACTACTGTTTCCTAAGGAAGACCTTAAATTCTGTATATGTATAAAAAAAAGTATTATAGTAGATAAATCACTTATAAATAAGTTTTTACTCTGTGTCTACTGCACCAAATGATAAATAATTAGTAGTAATAATGCCAGTTCAAGTTTAAAGTGCCCTACTATCAAATGTTCAACAAGAACTCTTTATAACTGATGTGTTATCAATTTACCTGCAAATGCAAATTGTAACAGTGTTGTGATCCTACATGTGATACATAATTTATGTGTAGAGTAGAAGACCATTTTACGCTTATGTAAGTGTTTTAAAATATATTACTTTTTATGAAAGAAAATACCGATAAATATGAATTATTTATTATTTTGAAATGCATTACTATATTTCGCTTTCTTCGAATCACTATAAGATATGATCTTTCAGTATATTTATTATTTTTTTAATTAAGTCTTTCAATTATTTATCGTTTCTAATGTAAGCATCAATTAATATAATTTTGTACACTTTTCCTCTGGTGGTAATTTATTAATACCTTTTAATGTAAATAAATTTTTGCATTTTTTCATTATTTTACTTGGAAGAACCATTTCATCGACTATACCTATTTTTAAAATACATACAAATACTACAATATACTAATTATTTATATTAATAAAATGATGTTTGTTTAGTGTTGTAAATGTAGACTGGTTGATTTTATTTGTATAACATAAGTTTATTATCGATGTTTACATTCAAATAATTTAATGTTGTTCGAATTAGTCATAAAATAAGTAACAAATATCTTACATAAGCATGAAAGGTCTGACTATTTGTCTGGAAAATATATTAGATTTTAGTACATACATAGTAACATATTATCAATGTTCAATGTGCCAAATACTTGTGTTACCTACATTAAATGTTTATAAAAATTGAATTGTGTGACTTATAAAATTATTATTATAAACCAATATTTATATACAATTCAATGTATAATATTTAATGATATTATTTTCATTGAACCGATACTGTTCAAGAGAACAGTGTACAATAAAATACTATTTTTATTCACAAAGAGTGGATTAGTATTATTATTATTACTATTATTATTATACACTACCCGTACTGTTTTTGTAAAAGTAAATAAAACTATTATTTAACAAAATCCAAAGTAGTTTATTAAAATATTACTCTTTGTAAATTTCTTTGTTAATTTTATGGAATGTAACAAACATGTATAACCATAAACATTAATAAATGAAAAAATTACTTTTTTTTTATTTAATAAATAAAGGTATTATATTATAAGATTGAAATAAAATTATTCCGGCTTCGTTGAATCTTCGTTCTTATAATTTCACAGTTTTTATACAAGTTTAGTGCACTAATATAGTAAGGATCATTTACATAACTTGTGTGTAATGTCAAGCTAGAATCCGTATTTTGCAGGGACTCTTAGAACGTTTAAATAATCAATTGCAATTAATATATATATATATTTTTTTTTAATTACGGTATTAAATGTATCATTCACGTTACTTACACTGTACATGACATAAAGAATTATCTTAACCATGGTAATCAAAGTAATCTATTTCTGGTTCAGCTGTCTTCACGGTGGACTGTGTTTCTGGTTTTTGATTTCTTTGTGTAGGCAGTGATAATATTGTTCTAATAAATAAAATTTTTACATAAACATATGGATGATTTGTGCATTTGTAAAAAGCATTGAAAATTTTATGTCAGAAAAGTATTTCCAGAGCACTTACTTCACAGGTCCATCGGTTTTTAAGGTATTCAGCATTGGACCTGGAACTTTTCTTTGACCATTTTCTCGTTGCACGATTTCTAGTAAACTGTAGCTTGGTAACCAACACTATAACGAATTTATATATTTAAGCGTAAAATAAATCATTTAATTAAGAACTATAAAAAGAAACAAAACGTTACCTTATCTTTTATAGCAGTAGCAACAACATTTCTTTTCGGTTCTTGATCATACGCCTGACTTTCACAGCCAAAATGTTCACAAGATTCATGAACAAAATGACGCTTATCTTTGTTCATACAATCAAAAGAGTAACTACGAGATTTCTGTTTCGAAGTTTTGGCTAGTTGAACTAACTCTGTTAATTTATCATGAACCATTTGACAAAACTGTGGGTTCTTCTTAGCCCACTGTTTCATGAAATCGCTATATTTAGGCATTAATTTTCCGCTTAAATCTGGATTAGCAATCTGCAAACCTAGTGTCAATCTTCTATTACGTTCTATTATTTTACATTCATCATTGCATTCTAAAGTTTTCAACTGATTCTGCTTCTTTGCCCCTGTGCCAAAAACTTGTTCCAAATTAATAGAATGACCAAGTTGCATATCAGTCATTTTACTAGCTAATATACTGCTTGCTATTCTCTGATATTCTGTAGAATTTTCTGCACATACACGAGACATAGATCTATGTCCACATTGACATGTTACCTATATATGATGTTCATTAGTAGTTAGAAAAATCACACATTGGCATATATCGATAATACAATTATTTAAAAAAAAATTGTAAAGAGATAATTACCTTTACCATCTCCTTACATGGAGTATCTGGGCATTTACCCTCATGACACGGAGCTGCACAAATGTGACCACACATTTCCCTAGGATTAGTGCAAGGTTGTGAGCATTGTTGTCCTGGTTTTTCACATGGACCAGAATGACAGATACTAATACACTTATGTCGACCGCATGATATAGGTTTATTACATGGCAAACCACATGAAATTTCAGTAACATAACAGGGAACAGCTTTTCTGAGTTCATGTTTACCATGGCACCATCTCTGAGTAAGAACAGTGCAAGGAGGACATGTTGGTTCACTGTGACAATTATGTAGAACTTCATGTCCACACGAGTGCTGACGCGAACATGGCCTTTCACAAGTAGGTCTTCTCGTACCACAAGGGACAGGAGGATATATTACAGCAGCTCCACATTCACAATATAATTCATCAAAACTACTATGCCAACAAGATTGACATCTTCCTATGATAATTACAATATAAATTAGTTTGTTAATTTTATTATTATTGTTTATTATTTTATTAGCACTTTGTCACGAGTTTTAATTTCAAAATATTAATATGTTTAATGTAATATTATATAATACCTTTATGACAACTTTGATCACATTTATGTCTGCCACAACTTAAAGTTTTGGAACACACCAATGGACAAATATGTTCTATTTCTATGCAACATAACTGATTACATTTATGCTTGCCACAAGATCTTTTCTTTGTACATCTTTTTTCACACCGAGCATCGTCAGCTTTTGACGTTAAGTCTTTACAAGCTATTTCTCTGTCCATATTTCCGCAACGACATTTGACATCTGTAGTTAAATCGCAAGTAGGGCAATCTCCTTGATGGCATTTTGCTTTACAGGTATGAGGATTATCTACAAGCAATGTATTATATTTTCATCTCTTGTAATATATTTGTTAAACAACTGTTATGTCTCCGTTTTAAAATACTTACTAGGTTGTCCACATTTTAGTTTTTTAGAACATACTTTATCACAAACTGGAACTGGATCTAAACAACTTTGTCTCTTTTCTGTTAAGGGCGTTTGTCCACAGCAACAAGTTGTAATTTTCTCCGGGGTTAAAGAACAAGACTCGCAAGCATCAGCATGGCATAACTTTGTACAAGTATGATTACCACATTCTAGTAATTTATTACAAGTAGTTTGACAGGAATAAGTAAGAGAAATATTGCTCTGACATGTCACTTCTCTGGTATTTTTATCACAATAACATCCTAGAAATAAATTTATAGCATATGTTTATAACTGTGATTAAATGTAATATAAATTTGCTCAAATTACATACTTTGCATTATTGTTTTCTCGCAATTTCCACATTCTCCATGATGACATCGCCTTTCACATTTGTGCTTACCACAATTTAAATCCTTATCACATGTAGAATCACATAACAGTAACTTATGTGCACTGCATTGTACCGTTTGCGATGTTTTACCGCAACCACAATACTTTGTGACCATTGCTGTACATTGTGGACAAGACCCTGGATGGCACAAAAGAGTACACTTATGTGTACAATTTTTTGATAGAACTCTACCACACACTTCACCACAAGAATGTGCAACATCTCTACGATTCCATTCAGGTGCTTTTGTTTTGCCACAAAAGCAGAAACAGTTTTCAGGAATTGTCACGCTCATATTTTGACACGCTGGGCATCTCCAACCATTTTCTAAACAAATATACAAATATAATTTTTAACTCACTCTAGATGTCATAATATTTGCATTATATCATATATATTTTGAAAGCTTTTACTTACCCACTTGCGACGATTTTGCCCATTTCTTGATACATTTTAAATGTAAAACATGGAAGCAATTAGAACAAGACCATATATAATCATTCTGTTTAATGTATTCGCAACACACTAAACATTCCAACTGTCCTCTACTTAGCTGATCCGCTAACCTCTCTCTTTGATTTGCATCATCATCTATATAGTTATAAACTAATGAAATTATAATGTCATTATAAAAAAGTAAAATCGTATAAATTTCTCATTACATACGCACCAACAAGAGATCTTTTATTTTTTCCCCATTTTTGAATGCTACTCCTTTCAGTGCTTTCTCTTTTGTTACTCCAATGTTCATTTCCTTTGTCATTATTTTCAAATACATAACTTTTACTTCTGTCTTTTTCTTTAAATATTTCATTTTTGTTTTCTTTATTATATTCTTTTGATTCATTAAATCCTTGATAATTATACTTTTTTTCTTTTATTTCCTTTGCTTCGAATCCAATTTCCTTCTCATAACACTCCTTAAACTCATTATGTTCACCATTACTATACATTTGCTCCTTTACCTTAAATTTATGCTCTTTACTGTAATTTTCTCTGTTATATCCTTGATAATTCCGTTTCTTTTCTTTAAAGGCGCTTTCCTCTCTGTTATATTTAACATTATACGAATACTTCTTTGTAGTCCTACGATTATTATGAAACTGTTTTGAACCAGAATTATAGTAAGCAAATTCCTTAATCTGATTATTATACTGCTTTGTATCATTTTCTTGTACGTTTTCATTTCTAACAGTAGAAGTCTGTTCATTACTGTTTCTGTTTAAAATTTGTTTATCATTATTCAAATTTGTTTCCATATTTAAAGATAATTCTTTCTCATTTAAATTTGTTGTAGAAAATTCATTACTTTTACAACCACTATTATCATTCATCGTTTCTTTATCTAGCATATTTTCATCTGTGCTTTTTACATCTATTTGTGGTTTATCCGAGTAGTATTTATTAGTAACATACTTATTACCTTGAAATTTATGAGAAGCTTTCCCTTGTTGCTGAAAAGAATTTTTATATGTATTTCGCTTATAAAATTGATCTTGTCCTTCTCTAGGTTTATAATTTACATTTTTTTTAGTATTGTATTTTCTTTCAAGCCTGTTCGTGTTATAAAATGTCTGTTTATTTAATGTTTCATTATTATTTTTGACAGAATTCATAGTACTAACAGACTTTGTATTTTGTAATTCGCATCTTTTATCGTTCAATTCTACATTATTTGGCACAAACTCTTCAGCCATAACATGAAGACTTGAATTACTTGGTTTTTTCATTTTTTCCACAGAAGTGCGTTTAGTTTTGGTTATTCCTGAATTGTAATCATCCTTCCAACAGTTTTCAGATACAAAACTTTGTTGATTATTTGTAAAACATTTTGGATTACTTGATACTGGAGAATTACCTACTATGCTCATTACATGTTTCTGATAAAGATTGGTCACAGATTGAATTGGCCAACCATCTGTGTTTGTACGATAAGAAGTATTTGAGCCATTGGGCTCATATAAAGGTTCATTTTGTACATAATATTCACGATTAGATTGTAAATATTCATTATTTACATTGCTGGGAAAATATGTCCATGTTCCTGTTGCAGAACCAGCAACATTTTGATTGAAATACGTATAATAATTTTGGTCTTCTGGTTTAGAATCAGAACCATCCCATGTGGCCATTATTTTTCCAGCTGCAGGCAAGTTTTAGAAAACAAGACGTGTTTTTCCGTTATAATTTGCAACAATAGCAAAAGAACAATCGTTTTTATAATTGTCGCACAATGTACTATTTTACCGATACAAAATCGAATCTAAAATACGGTTAACCTGTTCCTTTTCAAATTTTAGTTGTACTTTCTTATTCGGTTTCTTCAATGTAAATCTTTCACCACTCTTTCTGCAGTAAAAAATATAAAAGTTTTTAAATTACACAGAAAATATAAAATTAAATTACAATTTTGAAATATAAAAAGTACAAAGTTCGTTTTTCTTTATCAGTATCTTATCAATTGCGAATCAGAAAATCTTTTCACTCTTTTTCCTAATCAAGGATATATTTTAGAAATTTATAGAATCGTTAGAAATATGTAATAATTTCAAATAAATATGCAATCAACGCTATACTACACTACACTACCGAAATAGTAAGATACTTTAAATTGTAATGGAAGTAATATATGGAAGAAAATAAAAATAAAAAAAAAATACGATCAATGTGCTCAAATATACGCGGAATCATACTTACGAAGAGAAATTTGTTCGTATACTTACGAAGAGGGAACTTTTCAATCGTGTTGGATGTTGAGTATGGGACAGTATGGGACTAGATTAATTTTTTGTTTCTTGAATAGATGGCACTACGTTCAACTTACTGTGACATGAATGTACTCCTCGGACAAGAGACAAATACAGGGTCATCCACGTAAGTCCGCACCCAGAAATGGCAACAGTGCCCCAAACATAAATGTAACTATATTCATATGTTCACCTTGTCTGAATGACACATTTTGTAATTGCGTAATTTTTCTTTCATATCGAATGATGTAATAATCCTACGTACCTCTAGGGTTACTTTAACAGAATCGTCACTTTTATCGTCTCTGACGATAAACTATGTTTTAATTTCGCGGGCGAAGCAAATATTTGAATATAGATGCATTTGTGACTTGAGACACTGTTGCCATTTCAGTTGTTGCAACTTCACGGTCCAAATTTACGTGTATTACCCTGTAATACGTATCGTACTATATTCTAACTTATCCTGATCGTAGTATGACTCGAGAGAGAGGGAAGTTATTCGGGAAACCTATCTCAGTCTTATAACATAGTTACTTACATGGTGAAGTCGTACTTATGCCTATATTATATTCAATTTACTATGGTATAATATAGATAGAAAGGACAATAAGAGGGAGAAGGAAAAGTTTCCCAAATATTTTCCATTTCGTACAGATCACTCTTGTCTTTATTTTATCGCACAGAAGTTCTCCTGTAGATGTCGGTCGAGAGCTAGTGACTATAAATATAACAAAACTAGTCACGGCTTTGTTTTCGAAGGCACATGAAACTATTGCTCAAAAACGAGCGCCATCTGCTTTATCTTAGTATAAAATTATGAAACACGTCGTACTGCATTTTAAACGCTACGAACTATATAAGAGATAAACGGATAAAACAGATAGAGCTGTCGATATTGCTGCGTTCTACTACTTATCTGTGGTCTTCAAATCCATATGCTCTCGAGAACAAAGCCACTTACTAAGTAGGTCTGTTTGATTGAGGCGCTCCGCGCCTAATCTAACAATGTTGAGCGAGCGAGTAAATTTCACGCTAAAGCAAAAATAGTCAACTGTGTCATCCGGTTGAATTGGTTGAGTGGTGCAAGAGAAAAACGTGGACAAAAAAGTTGAAAAGTCAAATACATAAGCGCAGCATGCACATCCAGATGGACATAGAAAAAAAATTGTAAATGCATTAAAGTCTACGCGGATATGGTTTTTCGGTAATTATTCCTTCGCGGCATGCGAGGGCGGCGCGCAAGAGGAATATACACACGATAATGAGTATGCAAAATCGTTAATTACTCACTTTCTGAGCACAGTATATGAACTTTTATGATTAAAGAATGTTTAGTGATTCCCTAGCTACTTTCTTATATCACATATGTTCACATTTTTATTGTAAATAATTAGTTATTAATTAATATCCAACACGAAGTCGGCGGAATACATCGTACACATCAGCTAATTTGAAATAATTAATAACACATTTTCTAAACACAATTTATGCACTTTTATTATAAAAGAATGTTCAGTGATCCCTCAGCTACTTTCTCGTATCACATTTGTTCAGATTTTTAATTAAATTAATTAGTTATTAACTAATAACCTAAGGCCAGCCACGGTGACAAGAGGTATACACGAGGTCATTTTGAATAATTAATTACACGTTTTGTGGATATATTTTCTGCACTTTTATGATTGAAGAATGGTTAGCAATGCATTATTTACATGGTGCGATCATAAAAGTTCATAAATAATGTCCGGGTAATGAGTAATTAATTATTTTGTGTCAGCATTCTGATACGTAAGTACATGAGCCGCCTATGTCAATTCTACTGCACATGTAAAGTGGAATATTTCGGCACTTTGGCGACGTAGTATGGTTCCTGAGGCATTTAGAAACAAATTTCTATTAGGGTTTGACGCGTTTTGATGCCTAATAAAGCCAGAAAATCAATTTTTGTCGAATTCGGGCCAAAACGGTACAGGTGGCGCCATCTAGCGGTGAGCGGCGGAACCCGAACATTATTTATGAACTTTTATGATCGGACCATGTAAATAATGCATTGCTGACCATTCTTCAATCATTAAAGTGCAGAAAATATATCCACAAAACGTGTAATTAATTATTCAATGTGTCCTCGTGTATACGTCTTGTCACCGTGGCTGGCCTTAGGTAAAAAACGTATGTCCGAACACGCGTTAAGGAAAAATATAAAAAGTAAAATTTCGCAACTTTGACGACGTAGTATGCTTCTTTAGAAATTTTAAAGCCATTTTTGTTGAATAAGTTATTCATTTTTTTGCCTATTAAGCTCAGAAAATCAATTTTTATTTGACCCCTTTACAACGTGTTCGGACATACAGTTTTTCGGTCTAGTTCGCAGTTTCACCGCTAGATGGCGCCACAAATTTTCTCCATAAAATGACATTTT